AAGGGGGACCCCACTAAAAAAAAAAAAAAAAAAAAAAAAAAAGAAAAAGGAAGGAAGGAAGGAAAAGAAAGAGGCTGTCAACTATGTGGCCCTGGCTGGCCTGGACCTGCCTCTGCCTCCCAACCACCAGCCCTTGATGGGTAATCTGATGTGAGCTGATGGTTTGAAAGTGCATTTTCAGTGGCTGCCTTCTTTTCAGACATCTTGACTTTGCTGTTTCATGGCTAATTAAGGTCGGAAATATCCTTCTTTTCCCTTAGCTGCAAGTCTTCTGTTTGTTTGCAGTTTTTATTTTTTATTTTTTATTTTTTGGTCTTTTTGAGACAGGGTCTCCCTGTAGCCCCAGCTGTCCTGAAACTCACTATGTAGACCAGGCTGGCCTTGAACTCGCCTGCCTCTGCCTCCCGAGTGCTGGGATTTTTAAGGCAGGTGCACTTCTATTTTGGGGGGTTGGTGTGGGGAACCCTATTTTCAGGACTTCACAGATGATATCTCTGAGGTGTCTTAATTCCCTCATATGACTCATAAGAAAATGGAAGCCTCAGCCAAGAGCTAAGAATGGAGGAAACATCTCCTGGCCTAAAGCCAAACCTCCTTGTCTCCCATCCATCTGTCAGGGAGGGGCAGGAAGGTGACCAGCCCACTGCTGAGGTCACCTACAGGAGCCAGAGTTCCTCACCTCTCCCTCAGAGGTCCATCTTTCCACTACTGAGCTGGCCCCTGACAGACCCACTCACCTGAGCACACAGGGCCTAGGGAGTTGGGATATCACCATGGAGCATGTGGGGGGTGCAGAATCCCCAGGGTGCATCTTCCCCCCTCTCTAAGAAGCGCCACCTTACACACCTTTGCCTTGCAGAAGGAGCTCTTTCTCCAGCTCCTCAGCTCTGTGGGTTTGCCTGCCCCAATCTGGTCCTACTTCTTTGACTTTGTTTTTTATTAATGTGTATGAGTGTCTTGCCTATACGTGTATAAGTGCACCTGTGTTGTACAGTCCCGAGGAGGTCAGAAGAGAGTGTTGGATCCCCTGGAACTGGCGTTATAGACATTTATTAGCTGCTATGTGGTGCTGGGAATTGAACCCCAGTCCTCTGTAAGAGCACTCTTAACCCCTGAGTCATCTCTCCAGCTCCTCTGATTTTTTTTTTTTTTTTTTTGGTCTTTTTGAGACAGGGTCTCCCTGTAGCCCCAGCTATCCTGGAACTCACTATGTAGACCAGGCTGGCCTTGAACTCAGAGAGATCTGCCTCCTGAGTGCTGGGATTAAAGGCGTGCACCACCACGCCCAGCTACCCCCTTTGACTTTTGAAAAAAATTGTTTGAGAATTTCATATATGCATACAATGTGTTTTGATTAAGTCGACCCCCTCCCCATTCTGGGTGTTGATACATGAGCTTTTGAAGCAAGCGGTTGGTTTTCTTAATGCACATGGAAAGCAATATATAGGTGTATTTAGGCGAATTGAAAATTACAAAGGGAATTCAGAAACTATAAGGGAAGTAGGCTTACTTTTATCACTGGAAACAGGTTTTTACTTTGGTACCCGGTTCCACAGGGCTGGATGGGGAGACAGAGAGCCTGGTGGGCAGTGTGTGTGCGCGTGTGCGTGTGCGTGTGTGTGTGTGTGTGTGTGTGCACGTCTGTCTGTCTGCGTCTGTGTGTCAGTGACGAAGCTGCACAGGCCTTCTACACAGGTCTCTGTGCTCAGAGGTGGACCATGTCCACTGTAAGGATAGTGTCACACTGACAGGGATGAGGATGTGGGGACACCAGTCGTGGCTCACCTGCCCTCTCTCAGGTAGAGAGAAGGGCTGTGTCTGTGGCCTGGGTAAGAAAGAAAAGGGTGGTGAAGCCCTGGTCGCAGGAAGTCAGAGTGTGGGAGGCCCTACTGGTCCCTGAGGCCCTTTGACGGCTGTGTAACCTGCTGGTCACTGTCTCCTCAGCCGGTGATGAACAATGACAAGCACTGCTTTGAATGCTACGGGTACGACATCATCATTGATGACAAGCTGAAGCCCTGGCTGATCGAGGTAACTCAGCCCTGAAACCCTGGCTGGTTGAGGTAACTCAGCCCTGAAGCCCTGGCTGGCTGAGGTAACGCAGCCCTGAAGCCCGGGCTGGTTGAGGTAACGCAGCCCTGAAGCCCTGGCTGGCTGAGGTAACGCAGCCCTGAAGCCCTGGCTGATCGAGGTAACTCAGCCCTGAAACCCTGGCTGGTTGAGGTAACTCAGCCCTGAAGCCCTGGCTGGCTGAGGTAACGCAGCCCTGAAGCCCGGGCTGGCTGAGGTAACGCAGCTGTGAAGCCCTGGCTGGCTGAGGTAACGCAGCCCTGAAGCCCGGGCTGGTTGAGGTAACGCAGCCCTGAAGCCCTGGCTGGCTGAGGTAACTCAGCCCTGAAGCCCTGGCTGGCATTGAGGTAACAGCCCTGAAGCCCGGGCTGGTTGAGGTAACGCAGCCCTGAAGCCCTGGCTGATCGAGGTAACTCAGCCCTGAAGCCCGGGCTGGTTGAGGTAACTCAGCCCTGAAGCCCTGGCTGATCGAGGTAACTCAGCCCTGAAGCCCTGGCTGGCTGAGGTAACGCAGCCCTGCTGGCAGTACTGTGCTGTGCAGGGATGAGGAAGGTCCTCACAGTTTTCCAGTGTATATTAAGGCATTATTGGCAAGGGGATTCCTCTGCCTGTTTGAGGGAAAGAGGGTGTGGCGGTGGCTGTCTTAGAAAGGGTGAGGTGCATAGCAGACCCTGCCTGCCATGCAGCAGGACTTTTTCCCACCACAGCCACTGTATTAGCAGCTTTTCTCAACACTGTGACCAAACCCGTCAAAAAGCAACTTAAGGGAGGAAGGGTTTATTTGAGGGTTCATCATAGCGGGAAAGGCATGATGGTGGGAGTGTGAGGCCGCTGGTCACTTCCATCCACAGTCAGGAAGCAGAGAGATATGGATACAGATCCTCCACTGGGTTCAACCCAGGACCCCAGCCCAGGCAACAGTGCCACGCTCAGGGTGGGTCTTCCTTCCTGAGTTAATCTGGAAACATGCTCAGAGATACCCCAGGTGTATCTCCTAGGTGATTCCAAATCCGGCAAGTGATAACGAAGATTGACCTTCACGGCCTTCTTCAGCAGAGGTGGGCATTGTTGCCTTGTCTGAGGCCAAAGATTCCAGGAGGAAGAGGAATCAGGTCTCTGAGGGAGCTAGGGATGGAAGATGCCCTAAGCATGCAGGACACATGTTCTGTTCTGCTGCTTCATCCTGTGTCACTGTGGTACACATCCCCACTCTGACCTTACTTGGGAATAGACAGCTCAGGCTCTTCAGTCACATTTCAATCAAGAAGCCTGGAATTCTAGTAAGTGCAAGTGCATGGAGCTTGGCCTGCCTAGGGAGGGTCAGAGGGACCCCTGCAGGATGGTCCAGAAAGAACCAAGGTACCAAGAACAAGCTGACTCCTGAGTGATACCAAGTGGCTCCTCGCTGGAGCTGAGGGAGGCAGTCGGGGTTGAGAGGTAATGTTTGTGTTTTTCTTTTCTTTTTTTTCTTTTCTTGAGACAAGGTCTTATTTAGCCTAGACAGGTCTCAAACTTACCATCCTCCTGCACTATCTTCCCAGGTGCTAGACTTACAGGTGTGTGCCAACCCACCTGGCCTTCTGCCTCTTAAGTAATTTGAAGTCACAATTTCTGATGAACTAGGATCTGACCTAGTTGCAACTCTTGTTTCTTTTTTAAAAAAAATATCAGCTGGGCATGGTGGCACATGCCTTTAATCCCAGCCCTTGGGAGGCAGAGGCAGGCAGATCTCTGTGAGTTCAAGGCCAGCATGGTCTACATAGTGAGTTCCAGGCCAGCTGGGGCTGCAGGGAGACCCTGTCTCAAAAAG